AATGGTTGGATTTTAGCAATCAAATATATATAATCAATTTTTTTATACAATAACTAGTGTAGACAAAATTGAAACACATCAAATAACAATCAAGCTCCCAAGTTCCGTTTGAAGCTCGAAATCATTTTAAGCTTAAGCTAAAGAAAAATGGGAATTTCGCCAACTATACTAATTGGAGTTCAAATTAAATAAAAATTAACTCTGTATATTTGTTAACTATACGAGCTCAAATATAAACTTAAGCTCCATACTTTTGAACTTCACTCAAGATCAAACTCAAATTCAATATTATATCTATCCATGACTTAAATCGATTAGATTCATACACAGCTCTAGTTAATGGTTTGTTTTTAACCTTTTACCAATACCACCTCATGGTGCAAAACGCACCGCGAACGGCTTGAGAAGGAAGAAAAAATATAAAAAAAATATATAAAAAATTTACCTAATTTATATTTTTAAAATGTAAATTAAAGTGTAATAATTATAAAAAATAATAATAATTAATTTTTATTTTAATATTATTACTATATAAATAATTTTAATTAATTAATTAAATTTAAATTAACTTTTATCATTTATATATATATTAATTATAAAAAAGGTACATTTATATTGTACCCTTATCCTTTGCCTTTAATTGTGCCGAATAAAAAATCTCAAAAATAAAAAAATAAAAAATAAATAAAGGGAAAAGAAAATCAATCCGTTCAGTAATTGGTTGGGCCCCACGTGTATTGCTGGCAAAATACCCAATTTGCCCAGCAAAATTTTTCTATTCGCCAATTGCACCCTAATTATTTGCGCGAGCCTCTTGTTTTTAGGTTCTCACGCTTTTCTCTAGAAAGATCTTTATCCCAGAGAAAAGACCCCCTTTCTCCTCTCTCACCTAGGGTTTTTTTTCCGTCTTCCAAATTTCAATTTGTCGATCGCCATGTCATCAACGGGAAGGAAGATCACCCTCAAGAGTTCTGACGAAGAGACGTTCGAGGTGGACGAGGCGGTGGCCCTGTTGTCCCAGACGATTAAGCACATGATTGAGGATGATTGCGCCGATAACGGGATCCCTCTGCCTAACGTCACGAGCAAGATCTTGTCCAAGGTGATTGAATACTGCAAGAAGCACGTCGAGGCTCCCAAGTCTGACGATCGTGCCACTCCTGTGGACGATGAGCTCAAGGCATGGGACGCTGACTTTGTCAAGGTTGATCAAGCCACCCTCTTCGATCTCATCCTAGTAAGTTTTGCTCTTTTTCTTTTCTTTTTCCTCAATCTATTTGGATTTATTGCAGTTTATTGATTTCTTATGTTATATCCGTAATTTGTCTGGATGGATTGTTACTGTATCTTAATTTGTTGAAAATTTAGAGTTTATTTTGCTAATTCCCAATTCGTTCTGCTTTTGAATATGTTTTAGGATCCAGAAGATTTGTCTTTCATTAATAGATGGAATTGTTTATGTATTCATTCTTTGCAATTTTCAGTCCGCAAACTACTTGAATATCAAGGACTTGCTTGACCTGACGTGCCAGACAGTGGCAGATATGATCAAAGGCAGAACGCCAGAGGAGATCCGAAAGACATTCAACATCAAGAATGACTTTACACCTGAGGAAGAAGAGGAGGTTCGCCGGGAGAATCAATGGGCCTTTGAGTGAATGATCTCCACAATGCAGAAGACCTTGTGGTTTTTAGTTTTCATGTCATTTGCTG